TTTAATATTTAGATATTTTACATGTTATTTAATAAATATATTAAATGAATTAAAAAGTTTTAGATTATTCATTAATATATTAATATTAATAAAACCAGTAGAAGACAACTTATTTCGCTAATATTTTTAAAAAATTATGTGTTTTTTGAAAAAAGAAAATAAGAATTGTTTTTTTTACCAAAAATATTATCTTTTAAAGAATATATTATATTTATTCAAAAACTTTTACTTGACGTATAAATATATTAAATTAATTAGATTTTTTTGAATTAGTTATTAATATAACAATATTAAAAAATTGTAGAACACAATTTATTTCATTAACATTTTAGAAAGAACTTTAAGAGATATGTATTTTTTTGAACAACATAAAATAAAAAGTGTTACATTTTTTACAAACAAAATATGTCTCGAAAATAATGTAGTATAATTATTTAAGAAATATATCTAGAAATTAATGTAGTATATTTATTTAAAGAAATATTTTACTCTAGAATATTTAAATTGCATGCAACTTAATAAAAAAAAGTCAAAAAAATTAAATGTTTTTTTAAATCATAGCAATGAAAAATGAAAATCACTAATAATAATTTGAAATAGGTTTTTATTTTAATTTTAATTAAGTTATCAAAATGATGTGYCATCCACATCACCTCATTAAAGCCACACAAGCAAAAAAAATCAAGGGGTTAACCGGTTTAAAAGGTAACAAGTTATTCATTGCTATAATGAGTAAATTTTTTAAAGTGTTAATAAAAAATAATTTGAAAGTACATTGCTATAATAAAAAAACAAAAGTAAAATGTTATAATGAAAGAATTTATAAAAGTATGTTACTATTTCATGCATTTAACCTTAATTTATATATCGGTATTGTATAAGTTGTATTTTGAAAAACTGAAAGTTTTTAAAATCGAATATTTAGTTAAATCGAGTACTTAAATAAATTTATTATGAAAAACAATAATAATTTAAACAATTATAGAAGTGGAATATATATATAAGGAAGAATTCTAGAAGTGGAATTCCATTAATACCCCTGCGGATGAATTTCATGAAAATAGCAGCTCTCTTCCCTTCCACCTTCCCTTTGTCCTGTTTCTGCAGAATTCCCCCTGCAAACAAACAAATACACCTTTAAAACACAATTTATAAATTAAATTAAATTAAAAACACAAAGTAAACGAACCCTAGATAATTCTCCAGAGGGCAAGAGAGAGAGAGGAGGAGCTCCACCTTCAATCTTCTCTAATGGAGTCTCTCTCACGTCCTTTACACCGAAGAAAACTGTCGAATGCTAATACTTTCTCAGCTAAAAACGCCTACGATGGCGTCTTCTCCTCCCACCGCCCCAACTACGATCGACCTCCCGCTGTTAATCTTGAAGAATACTCTGAGATTTTTAGTAGCGGTCAAGCTGCTTCTTCGATTCCGGTTCTTGATCTTTCAACTTTACAAGACTCGTCTGATGCTACCAATTTGGAACTTGGAAGCACGAAGCCGGATTACGGTAAAATTTTTGGTGGATTTCGTGACCAAGACATCGCTGTTTCTTATGAAGAGTTGTTTGCTCGCAACAAAGCTAGGTAATTTTATTCTATTCCAAGAAAATAAATTGTCGTTTTTTCTTGTCTCGATGAAGCTGATGCAACTTCCCCCTTTCGTTTTCAACATATGAACTGATTTTTGGCATTATCAGTGATGCTGGTTTCTGATTTTTTTTTTCTTCTTCTTCTTCTTCTTTAATTTGGCTAAAAAGTTTTACCTTTTAACTTTGTGTTATACGAATGCTTTAGCAGAGAAGTCGATGTTCACAATGTACCGACTGAAAATTTAGGCTTTGGCATCTGTTTATTCTTTGATTCAGATTCCCCCACCTCCAGCCCCATCATTGCCTTCCTCTTTCTCCATGTATAGTTTTTTTGGGGAGATGCAATTTTGCACATTGTTTGGGAGGGGTGTGCTTTATGTGAAGTTAAAGATTTTCTTAAGTGGAGTTTAGGCTTGATTCACTATCATCTATGCTGGATCACGAACTTGAAGAACAACATTCTGGTTGTATTTTATTGAGTTATGGAGCAAAAAGATAGGCAAGAGTTATGATGTTCAGGGAAAAGGAGTGTATATTTGTGTGTTCGTTGCTCTAGTAAGCTTTTTACTTATGAATTACTTATCAAGTCGTGTCTATGTCCAAATTCTTCCCTCATTTCCTGATAAGCCAAAACACATGCCATCTTTTAGACCTAAACCTCAACCTCAAGGTGACGTAAGGAGGCTGGTGACAAACTTCTTGGAAACAATCCTCACTGCCATTATGCAGTTTATATAGTAGTTTAGATGGTGCATTGTACACTATCGTCACTCTTTAAGGGTGAGGGATAAAAGTCAGGGATATGCAAAAGTAGTGAATGCGGCCATCATGAACTTGGGGGGATGCCATTTTGAAGTGGAACCTAATTTTTGCGCTTGTTCCTTGCTGCATTTCTACATTGTAACGCTCTTTATTCATATGTGATGGCTTGTACGAATATGTAAATTCTGGCCTATTTGAGTTGGACAACTGATTCTTCATAGGCTGGTGCAAGCGACAAACTTCTCATTTTTAGATTTTAGGTTTTTGAATTACACACATTATCCTTTTCTAAATTTGCGACTTCATTAAGTAAGACTGTCATGAATTAGAACAAGTAGTATCTACTTGTCTAGGGATTCAATGTAGCCTCAGCCATGCTTTAACTTTTGTGCAATGTTGCTTCTATTCTGCTGTTTCAACTTCAAAGTGTTGTGCTTCATATGCTGCACATGAACTAAAATTTCTAACTTGATATTTCCATTTATAGTAGCAAATCTTTTTTCCTTATTATATTAATGCTGCCCTGTGGCTAGATAGGCATGACATAACGTCCTAGTAAATGCGAGTTTTAGGGTTGACGTTGTAAGGTGTCACCCATCAAATTAGGAAAAACATCTGAGAATTGATTGACAATCTATTGCTTTCATGCTATCTTATGCTGTTTTCCCGTAACCGTTTCCCTTTCTGGTAGCGGGTTTGCTACTGAATTACATTTGTTTGATCAGAAATTACCCAAATTTGATAGGAGGCTGTAACCTTTTCCTCTGATTAATATTGTTTGTAGGGCTCCTTCATCAACAAGCCAGAGCTCTCAAGAGTTGGGTGATCCGGCTCATCAATCTTCCGATGCCTTGAAGCAGTTTAACATGTCATATAATAAGATCAGCCAAAGGAGCAAGGATGGGTTAGATGGGAAAACACATGTCACACAATTACATGCTGTACCTGGATTTACATTTTTTATCGATGAAGCAGCTTCTCAACCAAAGAAGGAAACCGAGAAGCAAAAATCTTCTGTAACAAATAATATTCATCTCAGCGTAAACTCCAGCAAGGGGGATTTTCTTGAGAAAGAAACTTCACGAAGTGCTGTTGGATCTAGAAGTAAATACGGTCAAGATGAATCCTTATCTGACGATAGAAAATTTAAGACAGCTCAGACCGATTTCAAATCACATCCCTTCAAAGCATCATCATCACCTGCAGCTTCAGCAACCAATGTTGAAGCAGCTTCTCAACCAAAGGAGGAAACTGTGAAGCAAAAATCATCTGTAACAAATAATGTTCTTCCCGGTGTAAACTCCAGCAATGGAGATTTTCCTGAGAAAGAAACTTCACGAAGTGCCGTGGGATATAGAAGTAAATATTGTCAAGATGAATCCTTATCTGATGATAGATATTCTAAGACAGTTCAGACCAATCTCAAATCACATCCCTCCAAAGCATCATCTTCACCTTCAGCTTCAGCAACCGACGATGAAGCAGCTTTTCAACCAAAGGAGGAAACTGTGAAGCAAAAATCATCTTTAACAAATAATGTTCTTCCCGGTGTAAACTCCAGCAAGGGAGATTTTCCTGAGAAAGAAACTTCACGAAGTGCCGTGGGATCTAGAAGTAAATATTGTCAAGATGAATCCTTATCTGATGATAGAAATTCTAAGACAGTTCAGACCAATCTCAAATCACATCCCTCCAAAGCATCATCATCACCTTCAGCTTCAGCAACCGACGATGAAGCAGCTTTTCAACCAAAGGAGGAAACTGTGAAGCAAAAATCATCTGTAACAAATGATGTTCTTCCCAGTGTAAACACCAGCAAGGGGGATTTTCCTGAGAAAGAAACTTCAGGAAGTGCTGTCGAATGTAGAAGTAAATCTCATGAAGTTGAATCCTTATCTAATGATGGAATTTCTAAGACATTTCAGGCTGATATCAAATTACATCCCTCCAAAGTATCATCATCACCTGCAGCTTCAGCAACCGATGTTAATCATAAAGATTATCAGAGGAGATCAACTGCTGCAAATACCGGGACATGTAAAAGTGATACTCCTATGGATTTTTTTCCTACTTGCTTTGCTGAGGAACTTGATGTCAATTCTGCTGCCGCTGCTTCTGCAGCTGCTTTGAGAAAAGCTATAGAGAAGGCCCAAGAAAGCATACGGATTGCAAAAGAATCAGTGGGAAGAAAGAAGGAAGGTCTTCGAAGCTTTTCAAGTAAAAGTTTTAAAGATAGCTTGAAAGTTAAAACGAGAGTGGCGAATGTAAGCATGGGTGAAGATCAGAAAGACAGAGATAGTAAAATTAAAGAAACCTTTGAGAGAATTGGTGCTGCATCACAAGTTTCTTCCAATGTAGGAAGGAACAATAAGTATGGAGGCACAGTAGTTTTTCCAGACATTGCAGATGGTGAAAAGCTTTTTGGTGCTAAGAAGGTTATAGATGAAATGCATGGGAAAATTTCGGAATCAGCTAAGAACTCTGAGATACCAATAAGGTCTTCTTATGAATTGATAGACAATAAGATAGTTTGTAATTCTAAAGAAGTTGCAGGTGAAACAGAAGCTGTAGATCTTGGTTCTGCAGGAAACTATGAAAATTCAGCAGAGTATTCCGAAGCAGTTGAAAGTAATACATGTGAAGCTCCACAGAAGGATATTTGGAGACCAAATGGTTTTCTTGTACTTGAAAGTTATGAAAAGAAACTAGGAGATATCGAGGATACAGTCACAGATGACAAGCCTAGTGAGTTGAAGGAGAATAATTATGAGGCGAGACCAAGTAATGCCCATAAATTGGTTGAAGGATTAAACAACTTGGCTTTGTATCAAAAAGTGGAAGATGAGAAGAAAATATCCCAAGGGTCTGATCAAAATGGTTATGAGAAGAGATTCAGTGAAGCATTGGAGTTGTTGGAAAATAAGAAGCAAGGGCTTCTTGAACATGAACACAATGAGAAAGTAGCAAATGCAGAGAGGTATGAACCAAATAGCGTTGATGAAACAAGTGAGAAGGTGCTTGAAGATGAAAGAGAACTGAAAGAGGACAGCGGCCTTGGAAGCCTCAAGGAAGAAGATACAAGTGAGAAGTTTTATGATGTTTCTGAGCTGGAAATGATTGAGAATGCACAAATGTATGCCAATAGTTTAGGAAAAAACGAAGTGTCCCCAAAAGAGGATTGTGAGATGAAAGAGAAAGAAAGCCACAAGGGAGAAGAAGCATGGAAAAAATTGGATAAGGTTCATGAATTGGAAATTTATGAGAATTCGTCGAGCGATTATGATGATGCAGAAGGAAGTGAGAGTATGCATGGCTGTAATGGTCTAAGCCAGGAGGACTGCAAAGTTGGCCAAAGTGACAACAATGTGGGATCGAGTCAAGAGGTTGATGAGGCTAGCAGCAGCTCAGCGGAAGTTATAGGAGCTTTCTATGAGGTCCACGTAGAAGATACAGAAGCAATAGAGCTGCAGTATATCTCGGAAGAAAAAGAGATATTTGAAAAGATTTCTGTAGATCATACTGCCTCTGAATACAATGAGGATGAATGTGAAGCAAAATCTGACAGTCTGTCAGATTGTATATTAGCTGATATGCACGTTGGACAAGATGAAACTGAACAAATCGATACACAATCTGAATCATCTTCGGATATGATACATGGTATGGAGATAGAGGTTAACGAATATAAAGAAAGAGAAGAGACTATCGAGGAGGAGACAATTGTTTCTGTGGAGGAAAAGGAAAGCAGCCTCCAACAATCACATGAAGGAAGACCCGAAATTGGAATTAAAATGGAAACAGGAACATCTCAAGAACCTAAGGTGTCGACTGAAATGGAAGGAACCATGGACATGAATGAGAATATCATAACAAGCCACTGTAGAGAAAAGAAGGATGAAACTAGAGAATCTGGGCCAAGCAAAATGGTGGAAAAGGAGCGCTACAAAAAGATTGAAGGAGTAACAGCTGAAGAACGAGAGCGGGAGAGAAATAGATTAGCTGTGGAAAGAGCAATCCGTGAAGCTAGGGAGCGTGCCTTTGCTGAAGCTCGTGAAAGAGCTGAAAGGGCTGCTGTCGAGAGAGCTACTGCTGAAGTTCGGCAAAGAGTAATGGCTGATGCTCAAGAAAAGGTCGCAAAAGCTTCTGTTGGGATCAAATCTTCCGATAAAACTTCTGCACAATCAAAGCTTAGAGCAGAGCGTGCTGCAGTAGAGAGAGCCACCTCAGAGGCTCGACAGCGAGCTTTAGAAAAGGCAATGTCTCAGAATAAAACCTCCGAGCCAAGGGCTCAAGCTAATGAGACTGGGCAAACCTCTTTTTCTGTAAGTCGTGCACGTATCATCTTTGCTTCCTCCATCCCCAAAATTTTGGAAATTCTATCAAGTACATTCAAAATTTAAATGTGATCTGATAGCTTTTATTTCTTAATATCCCAGGATGCTTTTATCTTGATACCTTTTCGATACTTCAACTTATTTTTTGTTTCTTTTTTTGCTTGAACCAGAACATAGTTTATCTATTTTAAAGTTCACAAGTAACTCATTTGACCCTTGAAAGTCAGATTTGGACTTTTCTTTAGGAAGTTTGGAGTAATATTTATCAGCAATTATAACTTTTCTAACATGACAGAAAATATAACCTTTTTGTCACGCTTGGAAAACTGACTTACAGAATTCCTTGCAGGATATACACATTTCCAATGGAGGGAGTGCTGAATCAGCTCAGAGAACTAAAGCAAAATTAGAAAAGCATAACAGGATCATGGAACGGGCGGTATGCATCTTGCTACTTGTCCATAATTGAAGTCCTTCTTAGTCATTTCCTAGATTACTCATGAATGCCTTGGCTTTGGTGTACTTTTCTGTTTTCTTCCAGGCCAAAGCTCTTGAAGAAAAAGAGAAGCGTGATCTGCTTGCTCAAAAAGAACAAGCTGAGAGAAGTGTAATGATATTTTCAATGAATTGGGATTGTTTACCAGTTGTTGATGCATTCTTTTTGTTCCTTACATTTTGGTATCTGATTGTGATTGCAGCGATTAGCAGAAAATCTTGATGCTGATATCAAAAGGTGGTCAAGCGGGAAAGAAGGAAACTTGCGTGCATTGCTTTCAACCCTGCAATATGTATGTACAAGCTTCTAGCTCAGATTAGTGCCTGAATTTTTTCTTATCTTCCAAAATCTGAAAAAATCATATTTCAGAAAAAAAATCATATTTGGATGTTTCGTATGATCATCATGATGCTACCTGGAGTACACTTGTTTTGATTAACATTTTCTCTAAAAACATGGCTAAATCCAACAGTGAGTTCCTGGCTATAATGTCAAAGTTTTCCTAGTAAGAAATGATCTGGACCGGCATCCTTAAAATATATGCTAGCTATTTTTTATCATGAAATTCAACTTATTATGATTAAATTTTAGGCTTTACATCTACTGGTGGTTTTTTTATTGTATGAAAGGTATAATACCACCCACCAGTTTTTCAGTTTGTACCATTGTTCCATATCTTTTCCCTGCTATTCCATCCACAAAGTCTTGGTTGCTTCTCATTTTCAAAATCTGGACTCTAGAATTATAGATTCTATTCATGCATAAATAAGGAAAAATAAAAAAGACTTGATCAAGTTTATAAGCCGGAGGACAAGGAAATCAAAACAGTAATTACTTGAAAGAAAGTAAAATTTACAAAGGTACACTCCTGTCTCGAATAAATAAACCCATGCTTCTATCTTCTCATAGGCTCTAATAGATGTGGATTTTTTATTTCCATCTTAAATTGCTTTAGATGTTGTTTCTCGGTTAAGAACTTGGGAGTAGCCATCATGACAACTTGTTTTCGCTAGCGGAGTCAAACTTTATGCTATTGTGAATGGCTAAACCTCAAATGACAAATAGCTCAAATATATGTCAAAAATCTAAAAGGTAGCTTTTAAGAAATGACAACAAAGTAATTTGTGGACCCGAATAAATATCATTAATTTGGTTGTAATAATATTGATGGATAGACCAATACCTTTAGCATGAAAGCTTTCCAAAACAAGAAAATCTTGCATTTTTCACGGGATACCTCTGAAGGAAGGTGAATCCAATTTTTGTGACACCGAATTGACACGGGTCCAATGAAGTACATTGCTATTTTTACTACAAGTAGATACAAGATAAATTTTAGGTTTGATTTAAGTGATTTTTTGTTGCAGATCCTTGGAGCTGACAGTGGTTGGCAACCTATCTCACTGACAGAGATCATAACCAGTAGTGCAGTTAAGAAAGCTTACAGGAAGGCCACTCTTTGTGTGCATCCTGACAAGCTGCAACAAAGGGGTGCAAGCATTCAGCAGAAGTATATATGTGAAAAGGTTTTTGATCTTTTGAAGGTATGAAATATATTTCCTTTCTTCTCTTATTGCAATGCCATGATGTATACTTTTGTGATAAAACTTGAGATATGACAAAGTACTGGAAGGTGCTAAATGCAGCCTTAAGAGGTTAGACACAATCATTTACAAACCCAGTAAATCTTACAAACTTACAAACCAGATTTCATGTGTTGTTTCAAAATACGTGCGAAAATACACTGTTGTTTCATATGTGAAACGTTCAGGACTGTTCTGTGTGGGGAAACAACAGTCTTGAATGTTTCACATATGAAACAACGCTGGATAAACACTGCATTTTCACATGAAAACCGGTATGTGCGGATTATTGGGTTTGTAAACAAAAGGGACTCTAAGAGGTTATACCATTCTAATCCCAATCAGTATGTAATAAATTTCTGATATTAATATGCCAATTTCTAAGATGTCTTCACACTTTCCATGTGGCAAAAGCAATTCAAATGAAGAATTAATTAGAGTATCGAACACAAACGTGGTGACCCTAAAATGGAAAAAAGAGCATCTGATTTCCAGAAATTTTAATGATGTAAAGATATAGAGATAAGTTGCTTAATCCCCAACAGCTCTTAAAATGACTGAAAGAAAGAACATCAACATGAATAAGAACTTGATTGCTTGTTTTTTACTTGGTAATCCCCCATTCTTTAACTTCTTTCTATGAAACCCGTCTCAGTTCTGTTTCGATCTGAATTCTATTTTAACATGTTATCGGCAGGCCGCCTGGAACAGATTTAACTCGGAGGAGAGATAGCAGAACGATTTGCGAGTCTGGTGATGAGTTGATGAATTATTTGCATTAATCTTTAAAGAATTATTTCAAGGTATAGAAATCTTCTTGAAATCATCAAGTTCTTTGGAATTCAGTTCTCAAATATGGGAAATATGAATTATGACTGTAAGTGTACATACATACATTTAGTTTCCATTTTATAACTTTTGAATGTTTGGTTAGAAGCCCAAAAAATTGCAGGATATGAAAATATGAAACTACAGTAGGAACTGGTTGGTACATGAATTACATAGCTTTTTTTTCATGATTGTATGGATAAAATTGTTTGTATGAATTAATCTGTCAGTAAAAATTGATAAGGTTTTTATTTGAGAGGGGTTTTTCATAGATGGAATCAACATCTTTTTTTAACTGGGAGAGATAGATTTAGAAAAAGTCTGACTTTCTGCATAAAGCTCCCTCTATAAGCTTATTGAATAAGATACTTTATGTAACATTATGTCACTACCAAACAGTCATATATAGTTGACCGAATAAGCTCCGAGTCCCGTTAAACTACTAATGAAGAGACCCTTGGTTCTTTTAAAAAAACGAGTGTATATTCGCGGCAAGATCATCACTTTCAAATTCTTTTACTTTTAGAAAATTTCTCTGAACTTCTTTGACAAGCGTTCTCTTTCACATACATGGTCTCCATGAAAAAACCCCGTTCTACACTACACAGTTCTCGGTATGGTTGTCTGTGAAACCACAAAATTAAAACTTTAGGGGTTTGTATGAAAAAAATATAAATATTACATCCGCAAACATATATTTTATCATCTAGGTAATCCTTCATTGGTACTAAAATATGTGTTTTTAAAGGAGTAAGCGTGTTTAATGTAATGTATATTCAAAATAAAATAAATAATTAAATTGCTGGTTATATGGTATTTGACGGTTAAAATATACAGATACGTGAACTAGTGGACTTTTGGTACGTCGAAAGCGACTTGTCATACGACTTATAAGTCGTGTATACAGAAGTCGTGTATACAACATAACATGCGACTTGGAAGTCGACGCAACGACTAGAGTGCTCATTGTCACACCCTATATTTTAGAGTTATGCCGACCAATAAACATCATAAGTACTAAACCATAGCATAAACGTTCTAGAAACCAACTTGCGGCATAAGTCTTGGAACATACTAGTGTTCGACACCGCACGTTGCATGGTGATCAAAACTCAATTCAAGAAAAAACGTAAAAGCCTCGACTCGAGCGGAAGTGTGATGTGTCTGAAAACTTTGGATTGTATTTATATTTATAACGGCCCATCTAACACCGTAAATCACGATTTGGAGAATACTAGCATCAGATGAAAACACGTCATTAAGTCAATCCTTTCATTCTATATATATATATATATATATATATATATATATAGGGTTGGGTTCACGTGAGACCAAAGGTTTTTCGTGAGACCCGTAAGACCAATTTATGTTATTTGATCAACTTTATAAGTTAATGATCTAATGGTCTAAATTGCACGATGGCAATATTGTAATTATTGAGAAGTCTCGTGGCGTTTATTATTGTTTAGATTTTCAAATTGTAGATCTGATCCAATGGGTGAGAATTGGTCTTACGGGTCTCACGAAAAACCATTGGTCTCACAT